CTCTCTCCCTCTCTCTCCCTCTCTCTCCCTTTCAACGTTTGAATTCCCTGCCTGCCAAAAGTTTCCCACAGGGCACAGACTTCAGACACACACACTGACACCGTTTGTCCGACTAACAGGGAATTAATATTCTCTCCCATTCTGAAGAAACGAAGAAGGTCCTAGAAACGAGTGTGTGCGTGCCAGACGATGGCGGCGGGTCTGCCAGTGTACTCACATCTCATAAATACTCTGTCAAAACACGCTTCAACCTTTGATCTGATTGGAGAGACTCGAAAAAATTCTTGTCCCCACACCACCTTTTTCTTTATTTTAAGTCTCTAATCTCCTAGGTATGAGCATTTAAAGTGCTTTTCAGCTCTTGTGAGGCTCGGGTTTTATGGAGTCTTTACATCCACGATGCCTCTTTAGCAAGCACTGCTGTTAACTGTGTCCAGGGAGATGACCATTCCAGCTGAGGAAAGCTAAGGTCCTATTTAAGAACCACGTTATCTGAAGACATCTTGCTGCTATTTTTCACCCAAGATGTCAAACCAGTGTGCGTTTTATGTAGCTTTAAGTATTAGAGTCCGAGATCTCTTGCCCAATAAACTTTTAAGTTTGTCATTCAGACTTCGAAATTGTGTAAATCCTACATTGAACTAATTTCTTTGGCCATATTGGGGTGCGCGAACTGGAGAAAAGTGACCCCGAGAAATGATGTTTGTAGCGAATATGGTCACTATGCCTATAATTGAAATAATATTTTTAAAAGTAACCGAGGGTGAATAGTCTTCCTATAAATTCTGAGGTCTGATTGACTGGGACTCAGCCAGTGCGGATAGAGCTTTTAATATCAGACTTAGCGGCCCCAGTGCGAAATCTCTAGCACCTATTTTATTTTTAAAATCCTAAGCCTACCTGTGTTTGCTCATCCTCTTTAAAAGGAAGGTATGGTGACAGGTCCTATTGATACTATCTATGATCATTTCCAAAGCGGAACGATTTGCGTCCCCCACCACCACCACCGCAACATTCCTCCCTTTATGCCACCCCGACCCTTAAAACCTCCACTTTTTATCCCGTATACTTTTCCGAGCCTTCCTCCATCTCAGTCTGGGGAGCGCTCCCTTAGCCCGGCCGCTGGGAGAACTCCATCATCTGTGTCAGTGAAATGGAAAAAAAAAAAAAAAGACCTGCGTCCTGGAAGAGCAAGTGTGTAAGCCGGGTGCCGCGGTGCACAACGCCCGCAGATGGCTCGCGGCGGCCGGGGCGCGGCGATCCAGGCGCCCCAAGCAGTGGCAGGGCGGGGTGGGGGCCGGGGCTGGTGGCCGGGGCGGGGGAGAGAGGGGGCCCCCCTCTCCTCCTCTCTCCCCAGCCCCTCACCCCCACCCCTTTTATATATATGTATTTTTTTTTCCTCACAAGTTCTCTTGCCTCGCTATCCCCCCTTGAATCCGAAGGCGCCTCGCGATTGGGTGCTGGGGCCGGGTACGTCAGTGGGACTGTGACGTGCAGTCTTCCTGTTTCCTTCAGCTGTGTCTTAAAGTAAATCTTGTTGTGGAGCGGAGCCCTCAGCTGAGAGAGCGCTGGGAAAGCGACGGCCACTGCAGCCAGGGAAGCCGTGCGGCGCACACAAGCCTCTCCGCCGCGCCCGCTGCGCCTCGGGCCACCGCTCCGCGCTCCAGCCCTCGCCGCCTTCTCCGCTCTCTCTCCCCTTCTTTCCCCCGGGCTCCTGGCTCTGCCCTGCGAGCCTCTCCCCTCCCCTCCCTCCTTTCTCCCCTCGCCTCTCAGCACTCGTCCAGATCACTCGCTCCCGCACGGACTCACCGACCCCTGGGCCAATTATCACCAGTAAGACATCACCGCGTGCGCGCGTGGGTTTCTTCTCTGCCCGCAAGAGAGGAAGAGAGGGGGAGAGAGAGAGAGAAAAGAAAGAGAGAGAGAAAGAGAGAGTGGCTGCGTCCCACTGCTGCCCGCACCGCGTAAGTATCTTCACCCGGTTGCTGTCCCCTCCCCTTTTCCAGAATCGCTCGCACTGGCTCGTTCTTGAATGGGAAAGAGAGAGAAGAGCCTCCCGTTACTCACACCCGTGTAAACATTCTTTTTCCAAAGGGGAAAATGGTGTTATTTACATGAATCGTAATCAAATAGCCTCTAAAAACAGTTTTTCTAAGCAGGAGGCTCAGTGGAACTCCGCGCTCCGCTCCTCCCAGTTAACGAAGAGTAAGTGACCTGCTTGGCTTTTATTTCTTTCTCGCGCCTGCCGGTGACTGGGGTGATGGTGGCGATGGGGGGGAGGCTGGCGTTGCTGGACTTGTCGCTGATCTTGTCACCTTTTGTGTACTGTGTCTGGGATGCGCTGAGGCTCTGGCGTTCTTTTTATTTTGGATTATTTTTATTTATTTATTTTTCTTGCACTCTTTTCAGGGGAGGGGGCCGCGAGGGGGACGAGTCCCTTTTGGTGGTTGTTCTAGATTTTTTTTTTCTTGCTATCTTCCCAGTTTCTTTCTTTCCTCCCGGAGTTGAAACTCCAGGGCCTGTCCCCGAGTCCTTCTCCCTTTGTCTTGTTTATTCTAGCTGCCTTTCTTCCCGGCTTTCCCTATTTGCTTGGTGTTTGCATACCTTTCACTTCTCCTTTTTAACGCGGGGCAGAGGGCCGGCCGTGGAGAAAGAGGGCGGGGAGGAGGGGGCGCCCGGTGACTTTCCTCTGTGTTCAGAGCTGGGAGCTTGCACCCGGCTCTGCAAGCGAGGAGAGACGAGTTGGGGGACGGTCCGGAGGAGCGAGCGCGGTGCCCCTCCATCCAGTCTGTTCGCCCCGCGCTGGAAAGCACTGAGTAGGGGGAGTTTGCCCGGGGAACCCCAGGAGTCGCCGACCTGGACGCCGCATCGCGCAGGGCCGGCCCCGGGTCGGGGTGTGCTTGGGTCGCCCATAGGCGAGAAGAAGCTCCCAGCCATTACTAGCACGCTTGGGTGGTGGGCAGCTGCGCCCTGGCCTCGCTGAGTGGTGCTACTCTGTTGCCCCAGTTCCTAGGACTGGGGAGGGAGGAGAAGAGCCCGGCAGAGTGGAGAGGTGAGAGTGATTGTTGCTGAGAAGAACAGCGAGGAGGGCGGGAGGAAGGGGGAGAGCTGCTATCTTGCCTGAACAGACAAGGAGAAGAGACCCGGGAGAGGGGGGGCGGTAGACCTCACCCAAAGTCCAGCTGAGCAAGTTGTCGTTGCCTTTGCGGTGCCAGCCGGTTAGTCCTGCTAAACTGAGCGCCTGTGCATAGAGCGATGGGGGCCCGGGGAGAGCAGCGAGCCACCCTCAGGCTCTCCCGCCCCTGCCCCAGCTTCTTGGGAAGTTGAGTCCTCCCGGCGGCTCAGAGCAGAAGCAGAAGGAGGGGCTGGGAGACAGTCTTAAGTAGCCCAAGGTTGCTGGTTGGAGTGTGAAAAGGCTGTTCTTGGCAGCCCAGAGCCCTTCTCCGCCTCGGGGAAGGCTGGAACCGCACCTGCTTGCTTATAATTTTCCTAGAAGATCTGTGTTGTCTCCTTAAGCTAATGAAAACAGAGCAAGGAGGGTGGCCTCCTCTCTAAGAGTCTCCCTCTTGTTCTCGCCTTCCGAGCTCTCCCTGCGTTTTATCACCCCCTCCCCCGTGCCCCTCTGTTTTCTTTTCTTTTCTTTTCTTTCCTTCTCTCTTTCTTTCATTTTTTAAAAATCATTTCCTCTCCTAAACCAGTCAGGCAAAAGTCTGTTACCAGAATGCACATGGGCAGGGCTGGACAGGTGTGTTGTGTCAAGAAAGACAGGTGCCAAGTTTCCTGGGGTCCGGGTTTCTGTACAGCTCCAGGCCACAGGCTTCGGGGATGAAGAGATTCTTGAATTTATGGTGGTTCTCCTTAACGGGATTGTCAGGCTAATGGGAATCGAGCTGTTGGCTGTTGTGTCTGAGCCCCTGCTGTGAGAGGGTTTTTTTTTTAGGGGGGGTGGTTTTATTTGTGTATTTGTCTTAAGGATGTTGGCAGGTGACTGCTGAGGTCATATCTCAGGCTTCTGTCTGCCAGCTTGCCAAAAGCACTCCCCCCCCCCCCCACTTCAGGGCAGCAGGTGGAAGGAGTTGACTTTCTCTTTGCTCTTTGCTTCCCTCCAGTTTATGCCTCTCTGGCAAGTCTGTGCTTAGGAAGGGAGGAGGAATCCTGTGTGTGTGTGTGTGTGTGTGTGTGTGTGTGTGTGTGTGTGTGTGTGT